CATGCAGTGATGTGTTCAACCCATCACCTAAGACTCCACACAGTGATGTTTTCCCTATACAATATAGCTCATTACCACATACTCCATGCAGTAAAGTTCAAAGCTCGCTACATTTCCTAAGACTCCACGCAGCAGTGTATTCCCCTCATCTTATCCATTACCTAAGACCCTAGGCAGTAATGCGTGAAACTTAGTTCATTGCCTAAGACCCCAGGCAGCAGTGTAACATAACTCATTGCCTCACACTTCATACAGCGATGTGTTTCTCTTCCTTCACCCATTACCTAAGACTCTGGGCCGTAATGCGCAAAACTTAGATCATTGCCTAAGACTCCATGCAGCAGTGTTCGAAACCCAAATTTAGCCTGTCACCTAAGACTCCCCGCAGCGATTCGTAAACCTAACCCATTTCCTAAGACTCCATGCAGCAGTGCGTTCCTTATTTAGTAATACAGACCATTGCCTAAGACTCCATGCAGCGATACTCGAAAACCAAAATCTAGCTTATCGCCTAAGTCTCCATGCAGCGATTCGTGAACATAAGCCATGTCCTCAGTCTCCAAGCTGCCATGCATCATCAAGTGTTGTTTTATTCATCCCCACAAATGGATGAATAAGCTAAAGCAAACCAAGACATACAAGATTTATCTCTCAATCTCCAAAACATTTGTCTCGTCATCAAACCCTGGTAAGCGATATATCATCAGCTTCGCCTACTTCCTCAAGACTCGTAAGGGTATGCTATATCAGCATAACCTTATGTTTGTTGGACAAATTTTGGGATATTCCAAGTATTCAATAAACTCCCAATGAGAATGTTCAAGACTCGTGTATTCTCACGCTATTCGATTGGAAGATAATTGAATAGGGACAGCTGTCGCACCCCAAATTTGCCCTACCTCTATGATCGTATTTTCATGATTTCAAGATAGAAGAAGATATCTTAATTAAGGATGGTTCAACAATATCTGATGGCTCATTCTTAAATCCAAGACAACCAGGGGGTGCATTTTAATTCAAGGGAATGGGGATTTCTAAATCAGAAAGACCCGTGAACCCATAAACTCATTCGCAAAGCATGTTGGCCAACGACCCATGAGATTCGAAAATGGAAAATTATTTCAAAAATTATTATTAAGTAATTTTTTAACTAAGCCCATTTGAGTATTATTGTTGTTAGTAAAGAAAGGGGGTGGTAATTGCAATTAAAGGGCCATCAAATTTCATTGGGCCCATTTTTCGTTTGAGATTATTAAACAGCGAATAGGGGATGTGTTTGCAAATTACAGGCCCATTGTATTTTTCAGCAGCCCATTTGTGGTTTCGCTTTAGAAAAAGGGGGGCATTATTATCAAAAAATTCATATTAGTATTTTAATAAAAAAATGTATATATTTCTTTATTAAGAAAACGTGTTACTGTTAACTTTTTATAATATTTCATTTTTATTATTAAAAGACATTATGTTAGATATTATTTATAACTTATATTTATCTATTTAAAGTTTGTTTAAAAACAGCTAATATTGGGCTACGGAAAAAGGCCAATTGGGCCTGGTTGTATTAAGAAAATATTTTTTGCTGTAGTAAAAGAATGATGTTGCTGGGCTGAATAAGTAGTAACGATGCAAAGCCCAATTATTAAGCAACACACTGGCCCAAATTAAATAACAACTACTGTATCAATCATCACCAAGATTAACACACGTTTTTCTCAATAAACAAATACTGTAGAAATAAACTATATCCAATCAAATGTATACAGAGTCCAAGCCCAGAAAATTACAGTAAACTACAAATCAACTATGATTACAATAATCAGAATCAATTTCAATCTATTTTATAGAACAAAATTCGAAATTTACAGAAGAAGGAATCAATTATACAGATCTAATCCCTAATTGAGCTAAAATTCCTAAATCTAAGCAAGCTCAATTATAACCAAAAAACCCTAATCTGAAATCTATAAATGCTAATAAAAAAATTAACAGACGATGGAGAACAAGAAAACAAATATATAGAGATGGAGAGGAATTCAAAGATGAACAAACAAATATCCAGTTTGCTGTTGAAGAAGAAGAATAGGTGATTAAGGTTTCAATATCTGAAACCCTAATCGCTAGTGCAGTCGCCACCGGAGCCTTCGCCATGTCAATCTCTCATCACTACCTTTGGCCGCTACCGAAACCTCTGAATTGCAAAAAGATTAGAAGATCAAAATCGAGCGGAAGAAGAATCAGAAAACTAGAACTTGAAAGGGGTAAATTGCTTAGCTTTATCTGATTTTGTGTTTGTTTGTTGTTTGAGGGTGTCGGGTTTGCATTAGAAAGGGGTTCGGTGAGCCGCCGCCGTAGTTGGACATTAGGGTTTGTGACTGAAGATTAGGGGTAGAACGAGAGAGAAAGAAAAGGGTTACTGTAAAACTAAAATAATGTGTAAAAAATGAAAAGAAACAATGTTAGTGTTACACATAAATCTAGTGCGCGCTTTCCTATAATAATTAGCATGCTCCCTTTCATCTATCCATTAGATTTGCATCAGACGGTCGTAGGCCAAGTCTCACGATAGCCTCCATGCACCCTCGCATAGACAACTAACCAGACCCCTCTCTAAAATCTGTAGTGGGCCTAGCCCGTTAGTTTTAGCACCCCTCATTTGCTCAAATTTCTGAAACAAGAACGACAATACACCCCCTTCAGAATTCCCATTTGGGCCAAGCCCAACCTGAAATTGCACCCCCAGGACATTTATTTTTTTTAATTGTTTTATTTACATATAATTATTACTATTTTTATATTCTTACTACTATTATTTATTTATTTAAATTATTATTATTACTATTATTTGTTATTTATATATCATTAATTTACATTATCATTTAAGTAATTATTTTATGTAAAAAACTCACGTACATATCTTTTATACATTTGTATTAAAATATTTTATATCATGCCTTAATTATACTTTTTGCAATTATTATTATTAAAAAATACACAATAAATCATCAAACTATTTTTTCGCAATAAACTGATCTAAACAACTTTTTTTGCTAAAGGGTTCCAAACGAATTTTGACTCATTGCACATTTAGTCCAAATCTCCGCAATCACTACACCCGGTCAAATGCGAGGCAATTCAAAATACATTTGCAATCCCTAAAAAACACAAACTCCATACGAACTACGAATTGGGACTCTGATTCTTCATAAGAGGATACGTAGGTATACGATCCAAAATCGTGGCGAGTTCCCCTATTAAAAACTTAAAACACTTTTTATCTAAACCTAAACCTAGTATCCTTAAGAATAAGGTAGATGAATGGTGTCTAACACCTTCCTTTCGTCTAAAGAAGTCCGAAACTTAGAATCTTTGTCTTGCGAATTAGGGTTTCCTATTAGACGCCATTCCTTAGGATAAAAACTAGCAGTGGCGACACTGATTTTAAAGGCAGTTGCAACACATGCCACGTCATCATCTTTAACAATTGGCACTGCCACATGTTAGTGTCACGTCAACTTTGTTAATAAACGTTAGCGAGAGAGACCAAAAAGTATTTACAAAAAAATTTAGAGGGACCATTCTTTGAAGGAAATATTTTGGAGGACTAAAAATGAAATTCGCAATATTTAGAGGGACCAAAAACATATTTAACCCTAAAATTTAAATTATATAATGAAGAATTATTATCAATTGAGTCCAAAAAAATTATTATCAATTAGGATCACTACTATATAATATACCTTTTACAATACAATATTACAATATACTTTCGTTAACTGTGGTAATAACTCGTTTTGGCCGCTTTTTTACTGTTATTTACTAAAAGACATTTCACTATGGTGATTGTGAACAACCGTACTAAAATGTACCTGGAGTGAAAAGATTTGAATCCCAAAACCAATAATTTTCCATTTAAATTGAAAAAAATGGACATATCACCACATTCATTTTAGTTAATCATGGTATAAAGTGCAATCATTTTATCATGGTTCATCTTACCAACCGTGGTGAAAGGTTTTAAATATTTATATATAAATAATTTTCTCTCGCTTCAGTACATAATAGTCGTCTCTCTCAACAAAAAGCCCTAATATCTATTTCACCGTCTCTCTCAAATCTTAGGAAATGACTACCTTACAGTTTCATTTTCACAATACACTACAAGAAAATTTCCCTGTAGTGACGGACATAATCCGTCACTATATGTCATTCTTCCGTCGATAAAAGTCAAATTGTAAATCACTGACGGTCATGTTATCTGTGCACTATTTTCTGAAAGACAATGTCCTTTACCTAAATTTTAGTTGTTTGTCACTATTTCTCACGGAAAGTTATATTTTTAGCTACAACATGGGACCGTGGTTAAAAGTGGTATCCTGCAAAAAAAACACATTTTTAATTGCACTCCTACACATTTTTTCTCATAATTTTTTAATTAAAATTTAAGTTAATTAATATCATTCATATCCATATTATTTATAATAAAAATATATTTAAATGAATTAATAACATTCATATCCATAATTTTTTAATTAATATAAATCCAACATCCAATATGTGAATAATAGTAATAGTTTATAAGCAAATTCAAATTGAATCTTTCTAAAAAAAATGAAATTCATATTTTTCATTCCATTTGAGCAATCAACATCTTTAGAAGAAATAACATGACATTCTTTCTGATGATCTAGTCCTGACTTCTCCAGTGATTTTGGAACCTCCTTTCTTATTTTCCTGGCTTCTTTTGATCTATCTAAAAAACAAGGATAAATTCCATGAGGAATATGAACATAAAGTCATGGTATTTCATAATACAAGAATGGAAATAAAGAATCCACGAGATTTGATCAATGAGGGTTTTAAAAACCTGCATGGAAACATATCATCATTAGTTTCTTTTATGCTCATGAAAGAATGAATATAACTCATCAATAATTGGTTTTGAGATATAATTTTCACCTCATCGATCATAGGAAGGAATTCTCTTGTCGCCTAAAAGAGAGTTATCTCTTTCCCTATAACATTCAAATACAAAGACTATGTCAAATTGTGAGTTCAATTACACTTAACCTATGAAAGATCACATCCTAATTAATGGAAAGGTATCGTTATCCGACATGTATCTTATATAGATTCTTAATAATCCTCATATGATTTCAACAATTACCTCATGGTCAGTAGAATTAACACAATTTGGATGGCTTATGGACATAGTGTCACTAACAGGGACAATAGTGTACATCCCATGACTACCGGCATAGTACAGTTCTGTTAGTTTAACTAAATCAAAAACCTGAAAGTGCAGTAGCCAAACCTTCTACACTTAATAATTTTGATAAACAAAATATTCTAAATCAATACTAAATCAGATTGAACAACTTCCAAATACCTTGTCACGACTTCTTCCACTAATGATTGCAGTACGAAAATATTTATCCACTCTTCTCACAACTTTTCACATCTGAACATTATTTTGACCGAGTAAAATAATGTACATAACACTCAAAATTAAAGAGAAAATGAGTTATAGTGATGCATTACTTACAGGTTCAGACATGAAAGCACAATTTGGATCTCTACTATAGATGAAAGTGTGCCATCATAATCAAGAAACATTGTAATCTTCTTATCCTTTGAACAGTCGACGATTTTCTCAAAAGCTTCTAGTGCTGAAGGATATCCTTGCTGGAAAAATGGATTATAAGTTAATTATGACATGCCTTAGAATTATAGAAAGAAATTAATTGAAATAAAACATAGAACTATAGGCAAAAATTAACTAGTAGCAATGGATCATACCATCCATAAATTATAATCTTCATTGTCATAGTCAAACAAAGCAACTTGAGCACTCGAACCTTTATGTATAAACTTTTCCTCGGAGGAGAAGATGCTCTCATAGCATCCAACATACCGTTAGACCTAACATCATCAAGACTTCCCATGTTTTTCTTTGAATTGGATTTTGTGTACTTCCCTGGGGAGAGTGGTGAATCTTGCTGCGAACAAGCTAACAAACTATAATGGATTCCAATCCTTGACTTGTTGGCAGGAACAAGGTCATTATGAATTGGAGAATCATGAGAAGGCCTAAGTGCAGGTAACAATGCAACAAGCTAATAAGATATAATATTTTAACCACTTATGAAGCTACAAAGGAAAGAGTAAAATAAATAATCATAAGACTTACTGCATATGAAAAGCTAAAATTATCTTTTGACCATGAGAGAACTTTGTTATCACATAAGAAACCCATACTCACATAATGACGCCTATTTCCTAGACAATCAGTATAAAATGGTAAGGTAATAGGTTCAGTTATAACTTCGGTGAAATTTAATAATGGGGAGTGTTGTTTAATATCGACTTTAGTGGTGCTATAGTGTTATAATGTAGCTGAATGTAAAAATACGTTATTGTTTTGTTGAATGCTAAAATAACAGTTATAACACTATCTGCTTACCGAAAATTGAACAAAAATCCACTTTCTGCAATTCATCAGTGCAAAACTGAAGTGGTCCCATATATGAACTTGGAGAGGATGGGTAGTTGTCTTGAACAGAAGCTCACTTCCAGCAACAACATCCACATTCAATCATATATTTTCTCTTTTTGACATTCTCTTCCCAGTAGGATTGACAAGTTTTGGAAAAGTGAATGGCACATTCAAAGAGTACTCACCATTGGAGCATTCTACTTTATGATACCAATGCATTTTAATTGATAAATTTGAACCCCTATCAATCTGTTAAAAACCACATAGAAAAACATAAACAATTGTCATATAATTTATGGTTGGTAGCTAGCAATGTCAGGGTTATAACCACCCCTGGATTGTAAATCACCACGTAAACCATCGATTCTTTAGGAAGAAGCTCATTCAATTACCTTTCCATCAATGTCGGAGGCTTCGGCGGTGCCACTGCTCTGTCTTTACCTAAGTATATATATGTTTGGAGAGCTTTATACCATCATCAATAGCTCTACAAAATCCGTTTTCCGTTTGAGTGAAAAAGATATGAAAAACAAACACCAGTTTTCAACTTGGGGTGTAATATTCTAACAACCCACACTTTCCACAAACCTGTGTAAAGAGGGAAATTGTCATCACTCACTATAAAATTTCAAAACACTCTTTTCACCATTCACAGAACAAAAATTAAGCAATTTTTAATAGTTATACTTATACATATATCTTCTGCATCAAGACAACTAGTTCAACACTATCAAGTTTCAAAAGAACTAATTCTATTATAACTTCTTATTTCGTTTTTAAATAACTCTTCTCCATCAATATTTCATTTCCAAACAGTAGGAACAAACTAAAAATAGCATATACTATGTCAAAACTAAATGAATACAAGGCAGAGAAAGTCATATAAATATACTTCCATAATCCATTGGAAAAGAAATTGAGATTTCATTCCGATCATATTCCAGATATTTGAAGCACTGAAAAATAAGGCATAACAAATGTAAATATCATAAGAAGAATAATAGTTTCAGTTTTGTTTAACATCACTCACTAGTGTAGAAAGCAACAACAAGCATATAAGGATGAGAAAAGTGTTTTTGACACACCTACCCATCCATATTCCTTCAGAGCATTAGAATTATGTTCTCTTGAGATTGAAGAAAGTTGTTAATATGGTCTTCAGTTTAAGTTGAAGCATCGGATAATCCATCGGCTTTGTAGATTTTATATCCTGTCAACATTGTAAAACCCGCCAGCTTTGACAATCACTTTCCATAACTAGACTCCGGAGAAACATTGGAGAAACCGGAATGCTATTGTCTTGGAAAACTATCATCTTCTTGATAGTTTATACCTTCTATTTCGTTCATACAAGAGGAAGAAGCCTCGTCGTGGCTCCTACATGAAACTGGCTCTGGAAACTGCTTTAAGATCTATAGTTTCACATTGGTAATGGGGGTAAGCCGGTCCGCAAGTCAAAGTTGAAAATTCATATCGCGTAAGATTTAGTAAAAACAAAGTGTAAAGATAAAAATGTAGGTCTTGTGATTCATAATAAATTAAGATATTACACACAAAAAGATACTCCCTCCGTTTCTTTTTAAGTGTCGTTTTAGAAGTTTTTTTTGTTCCTATTTAAGTGTCGTTCTGATGTTTTAAGGTTACAATTTACCAATTATACCCTTACTTTTTAAATAAGTCCACTTTATATTTTATAAAATTTTCCTTTCTTAATATATGTAATAACTCACTTCACACTCACTTCAAATTATATTCCAATATTACATAGAAAAATATTTAGCATTAAATTTTGTCAAAGGAACAAATTTTTCAATTGAAGACTAATAATTCTATAAAAAGGATTAGTACCATTGTTTAAATTATCCCGTACAAAACAAAAGAGTTGTGGTGAAACAACAAAAGATTCCATGGATCTTCAAAAAGAAGAAAGAGTGGAAGAGTCATTGGAGCAAGAAGAAAGGGAAATCGTGGAAGACTCTTTTGACAAGATTCAAGAACAAGATGACAACGAAGAAGAAGTATTATCAAGAGTTGTACTGGATTTTGATTTAAATGAAGAGGCAGATTATGAATTTGATTTGAACAAATTTCCTAAAGAAGACGAAGAAGGAGAAAAAAACGGAGAAGAATCTTCCCACCATACTGAGTTTCGACCTGTGATAAAAAAGATGATAAAAAAACTTCTTTCAAAATTTTACTGAAAAATATTTGTGGACTAAGTATGGAGTATCTCATTTTAGATTTGGCTTAAGTGCATAAGTGGTAGGAGTTGTTATTTAAGAAGTCCTTATTATTGGTATTTTTTTTTTATAAAATAAGTATGGAGAAGAATTCCTTGTTATTGCTACAATTTAGGAATCCATTTCTTAAGTTCATTCTTATTGTTTTTTTATTGATACATTAAAAAAAATCATGGCAAAAGTTTAGGAAGTTATGTGCAGAAGATTTGCTAAAGTTTAGGAAGTTACTGTAACTTTTTATGGCAAAAGTTTAGGAAAATATAAACTTAATTCTCACGCACAATACATATGATAAAAGTGACTACATCCATAAACTATATTTATGGCAAAAGTTATTGTAACTAAATTTGTTACTCCATAAAATAAATTTTAGGAGTACAATCCATAAACTTAAAAAAAAACTCTATTTGAAAATCTCAAATGTGACTACATCCCACTTACAATAAGTGTTACTCCATGTTTAAGTATTTCTTGACTTCTTGAATTAATATTGGATCACACTTAATTTGAATTGGTAGTTGTCCTATTCTTTCCAGCCTTTCCTTATTTATATGAGGAATTTTATATTTATTGGAACCTGTCACTTTCATGATCTCTACCATGCATAATTGCAATGATACAAATATACGATTGGACATAATTGAAGGAAAATTTTCAAATGACTTCACCACTGCATCGATAAGTTGATCAATAGTTTTTGGTGCTTCCTTGTATTGCAATGATTGTATAGCCGAGAAAAACCCAAGATCTAAGATATTTAAATCTGGAGAGTTTGCAGGCTGACACATTAAACGAATATCAAACCCATCCTTGGTAGCAGCCTCACAGAACAAAGGATCATTATGGTTTATATGTGTCCTTGCGTTATCCTGCTGAATAAATATTATTGACTTCAAGTCATCTCTTGGCCATTTTTCTCTTATAGTCGGTAGGACTTTGTCAATAAGGAATGATCTTACCACATCTCTCTTAACCGAAGTTATTGCTTTTGTTATCATTGTTCCTGCAACTCTGTTAATACTTGACCTTTGAGCCGGTTCATGGGTAACAAACGGGAAAACACCAATTTTACCCGAAAAAATTTCATTTTCTCCTGCGTCAAATCGTGGCCGAGTTTGAGCAACTAAGAACATAACTTTGGCAATGAAATTTTTGCTCTTACATGTTCGATATGGCTCATCTTCATCTAGGAGCAAATAATACTTCTCGGATTTTTTAGTCATATAAAACCATTTTTCATCAATATGAATAATATTGTGCATGCTTTTAAACATTGGATCATGTGGTGTACCTTCAAGCATTGATAAACAAAATTTCAGCCTAGATATTTTGTTTTCTTCTTTCAATAATGGTTTTATGGCATTTGAATTACGTCGTATAAGCCCTGATTTTATAAGCCTGAACACCGATGTTGGATTGGTTTTCAACCCAAAAGCTAAAGATCGAATGTTTGTTCTTTGACTGAAAGGAAGTTCACGAATTTGATTCTCATAAATTGAAATTCTCTTACGTCCACAATTTTTTATCTTCCTATGAGAGACATCACGCGTTTCACTTTCTTTTGCTCTTTTCCAAATACGTTGAACAGTTCTTATAGGAACCGAATTTGATGAAGCCACCTCATTTGTAGCTCCTTTACGTAATTGTCCAGCAACGCTTTTTTGTAGTAGCTCATGATAAATAGACATGCGTTCTTCATTGCTTAAGACTCTTAATTTCTTTCTTTCTCTAGATTCTGCTTCAAAATTTTCTGCAACATACACTATAATTTTTTTTAAAAAAATAACAAAATAACTAGAAACAACCACATAAAAAATAAACACACATGAAATATCACTGTGAATTTAAGTATAGAAACCACCACATAAAAAACAAACACA